GATGTGGTTTCGCAACGCTGGACAACTTTCGCTAAGGCCCAAGCTCAAGGCTTATTGTCGAGAAGGCGGCGACGTTGGCGGATATCTTGTGATGTGCTTGCGAGGAGTGGTCCGTCGTGCACGCGAGCAACTAATTTTTATACATGACAGCCGTCCCGTGATGGGTTATGACCGAGCTAGTCAGCTGTGTTGGTAATTTTGATTTTCTGCTTCCTCATTTGGCTTATTTTCAACTCTTCTATTTGCTCGTCGAGTGGACTGGCTCCAGTTTCTTTTATAGTAAGTTATATATAGCTGCATACTAGTCAGCCTATCGGGCTGTGCTTGGGCAGAGGCTAAGATTAGGTCTCTTTGCGGCGGGGTTCTTTCTCCAAGCAGCCGCGAGCTAGCCAACAGGCTCACATGAATCAAATTATCAGATGATTGATCACAAGGTCTGAAGAGCCTTCCATCCAATGACGGGCCGGAGGAGCGGCGCGATACGTATTGTTGCGAGAGAGCCTCAGCTGTGAGTGGGGCCTCCTGGTGGGAGGCAATGAGTACGAGCCTAAATTCTGCTTCAGTTCGACACGCGAATTGTACTTCGCCAGAGACTAATTCATTAATCAAAGTGAGATGTCCTTAGGAATTGCTGGAGAGAATATCAACGAATCAACCAATCAATCATAGCTGGCAGGAACTGGTATTCGCCAAAGGACGTGGCCGACTTTAATGTAGCAATGTACACTACTTTCTTAATCTGGGTGGGAAAGAAAGGACTGACTTTCCGACGCTAGTCGTGATTTGTACACCAGCTTGCAGGAGGCAGAGTGCAAGGCCATCCTTGTATAGCAATAGAATGCACCACCATGACCGATGGCGATCTGCTGCCAGTGCTCAGAACCAACTTCTACATTCGAATCTTTTCCAAGCTTGCGTGCAGTCGGAATCGAAGTGCCAGATCTCAGAGATGAAGACACTTTTCGACTTCCATGGCAACAAGATCGGACGTTTGAGACGCATCGACCTGCATGCGTCAGTATATATGTCAGCCTTACATGGAATGACAATTTACCTTGTGAAACTGCTTTTCACTAAGTAATTTGATAATGGCCGAGGCGTCTCTGTTATAATCGGTAGCCCGTTTAAGACGGACTGTCTCGTCCTCGTCATCAACCCGCCCTGATGACCTTGCACGCGCGCCCAGTCTACATGCCAAAATTTCCGGAGTGCATTCAAGATAGACCGTCACGTATTGAGCGGAAATCTGATGAACAACACGTCGTGTCAGCTGGAAACACCTTATGATGATAATTGAGCTAACCTCTTTCTCAAATGCCTGAAGCTGCTTAGTGCTACGCGGGAAGCCATCAAGGATGACAGTGGTCTTCCCTTCACGAGCACTCCTCTCCATCCTCTTTTGGAAGATCTTCATCGCTAATATTGCAGGCACAGCAATGCCCTTCGAAAAGCTCTCGTCGATGAAATCGCGGAAAGAGCTTTGCGTATCCTGGACTTCCTGACGAAGTTGCTCGCCAAGAGAAATGCTCTCGACAGATTGGTGACGTTCCTTGATATGCTCGCAAACCGTTCCTTTACCCGAGCCTGGGCCACCTGGCAGTGCAAGACTTTAGCTTTCTCATTTCAGAATAGGGCATTGGACTAAGCGACGAAGGTAGGGTTAGTACGAACCGATGAGTAAGACAAATTTGAACGGCCACTTCTTGGGTCCCCAATTTCTATGAAGCGACCCATGGAGCGCTGTTAACGTCCGATCGGCACAGAGGTCGAGGCCTTTCAGATCGTTGCAAAAGTCGTCAAGCTTTGTGTTGGTAGGATTGGTAATGTAGTATCGTTGTGCTTGGATCGCAGCCTCGACTTTATCTGCAGCGTGTACCAAGCGTGCTTCGATAGTATCTCGACAATTATACTCGGCAAGCCGTGCCTCGAGCGTTGCAGTAAGCTCGCCAGGAGCCAGAGCCTTGATGAAATTCATAGCTAGCTCTTCCCTCGCATGCTTCTCACTCTTCGGTACCCCGTCAGCCGGAGTCAAGTCGCCTGTAATGATCTCGGGGACATCGTGTGTGAGAGCCAATTCCAAGGCTTTCAGTTTCCTGAGGGGCTCCATATTCTATGATTCATCAGCTTCATCAACATTAACATTAGAAGATCATAAGGCATCGGAGTTTGTTTGCACCTGTGCTAGTACAATCATGGCGACCATCCATGAGTGTTCGGCAACAGACTCTGTCCTGCCGCGGATATTTCGATGTTGCCATCCTGCGCGGGGCTCTTCCTTGAGCTGCGTGAGAAGTAAGTAAAGGTCGAGCAACCCGTTGTCGTCCATGTTCAATCGTTCGATTGTGGCTGTTTGACAGGAATAAGAGGCATTGATGGAATGCGAAAGCCGCGCGGGGTTGGATGGGTGCGGGGTGTTGGTTGGTGCGGCAGCCTGATAAGCGCGGGTTTGGTAATCGAGGTCTGCAGGATCACGTGTTTGTCAAGGGGCAATCAGACGCGTTCCTAAGTCTAGGTGGTGGCTGAGGACGAGACGGCAACGGTGCGGGAGGCGGGGCAGAGTAGCTCCCATACTGGTACACGTGCCCCGCACCATTATTGTGAATCATGTGCCTGTTCCCCTGCATATCGGTTCCGTAGTCATAATGAAATTCTGTTAAAGTTTTGACAAGAGTGCGCCATCTTTTCTTGAGATTTTCGCCGCTCCTGTCTGTCTTCCTTGAATGTCTTCTTGTGCGGCTAGGATTGGCTATAGCCGTTTGCGAGTGGACTATATCCTCCGCAGAGCGAGGTTCTTGCCCTAAGCGGTTGTTGATTTCATCCATCTAGAGAGTCAGGTTCTTGGATGGAGAGTGTATAGTAGAATTCAGACACAATTCAAATGTTTCCTATTTGAGGACCCCATGGGACTTGCATGGTGGCGGTGTTCCTTGGGATGCCCGTTTGGCCTGCACTTTGAAAGCCGGGATCTAGGTACGGGCATTTTGAGTGTGACCTGGAGCCGGGATTCCACTCTGGCTTCGGCTGGCGAATAACCCGAGCCGGCTATTGTGGTGTGCAAAGCCACGAGCCCGTGCTGCACGAAGAAATTAGTCAGGCAATGACCATGCTATTAATGACAGACGGGAAAGCTTACGTGTTAGTCTCACCCTTAGCGTGTCGAAACGCTGGCGGAGGTGGGTCACTATCCCCTAGTCTCTTTCCGCGGATGTTGACGCCTGTCCAGCACCCGTTTCTGAAAAACCCTCTCCAGATCAACGAGCTGATCCCGTTAGTCGGATTGGCCCTCATTTCATCGTGCAGATTCTACGATTTGCAAA